TAGTCACTAACTTGATTTCTAACTTATTGTATCACTCACTTAAGTTGTTAACTAGTAGATTCGATCATTGGCATAAAAATTGCCGATAGCTATATCGCCGACGGTGACACCGCCGAAAATACAGATAGTCGATAGTGACATTGCCGGAATGGTACTTTGTCGAAATGCAGTTCGCCGAATTTCGGCGATCTGCATTTCGGCGATGTGGCTTTCGGCGAAGAGCATACTGACCAATTATCCAATGGCATAAAGGTCTTTGTTCCTCTTACTATCATTAGTCGTAAACTCCATCCCGTCAATACTAAAGACTAACTTCATATTTAGAATCCCCATCGAATGATGTTTAATGTATTAGTCTTCTTATGAAAAAAAATTGTTCATGCATATAGAGTAAAGCTCTCTCACAGTAATTTTTCAAATTATATTGATCAGAAAATAAGATCTTTTTAAGTTTAAAAAAACCTCACATATCCATCTGGTCTATTAAAAAATGCCCATCATATGTCTGTCATGATCTGTATGAAATCCAAAACAACTTAACGTATACTATAACATTTCATTCAATTCATGTTTCATAAAAACTTACAATGTAGCACTCATCTCATCAGCAAGTAATAAAGATAAACGGCCAATAAGTTCAACTGGTACAAATTTTTTAACAGCATGTTTCAGAAGAATAACACGTGGTATTACCTCCGACTCTAGAATATTATAAATCATATTTATTGAAATAGTTCTAATGAGAATATCTACCAGGAATATCATGAGATTTTGCTTGATCACGTATTTGTGCATCGACAAGTGGTGTTCTCACATAACCAGGACAAATAGCATTACAATTAATATTAAACGGGGCACCTTCAAGTGCTGTTACTTTAGTTAAGCCAAGTACACCATGTTTAGCAGAAACATATGCAGCTTTATATTCACTTGCAAATAGACCATGTGCTGATGCAACATTAATAATGCGACCAAATTTTTTTTCTTTCATTGGTTTCATTAAAGCTTTTGTTAGAATAAAAGCTGATGTTAAATTAACATGAAGAATGTCTGCCCATTTATCCTCTGGAAAATTTTCAATTGGTGCAACATGTTGAATACCGCAATTATTAATTAAGACATCTGAAGTATAAAGAAAAACAAATGAAAAGAAAGAATTTAATTAATTTGAAATAGAAAATAAAATAAAATAACAAACCAATATGTTTAAATCGTGCTAAACCATCTTCAACCATTGTTCGTAATTGATCTGAGTTTAAAGCATTAGCAGGTGAAAAAAGATGACCAACTTGAAATTCATTTGCTATTTTAGCTGCAATGTCACTACCATCTTTTTCTAATCCATTAAATATAACATTATATTTCGCTTTAGCAAATGCACGAGCGATACCAAGACCGATACCACTAAATAAATAATAATGATTATTTATTATATTAACAAATGCACTATATCTATAATTTATATTTATTTTGATTATGTTTGTACATAGAGAAACTATGCTTAGTCTAAAAAGACTTACTATTGTATTCTCTATAAAATCGTGTGACAATCTTAGATATAACTTTAACAGTGGTCGCGATAATTGGATACTAATCAAATTCTCCTATATTTACCCATTTCTAGCATACAATAACTCGTATTCGAGGTTTTTATCGAGTATAATTTAAGTTGTTAAGAGGATATTTATCTGTTGCCGGTTTTTTTATATGAAAGTTTACAAAAACTATTATTTTAAATCAATACTCTTAAAAATTGAGACAATTTGATAAAAAACGATCAGAGTGATATATGCCAAAGTAAAGTCTCGATGAAATCTGCAACGAAGTCGTCGAAAAGAAGATAAAATATTCATGATAAAAGTTCAAGCTTGGACTCACGAGGGAACCTCACTAACTGATACCTTGTTGTTTGAGGCCATATTTTACTCATTAGTAGGGCTCATATAGTAGAGAAAAATCTCAAAAGAATTCATACCATTATCGCTTTGATCCAGAGAAACAAGCATAACAAGTTTCCCTAAAAATGACATTAATATGTTTTCTATAAAAATTTTTTCAGTAGTAACTGATCAAGAATTTTCTTTTTTTGTGCTTCATCCACGTGTTCCTTGGATATAATAGATATGCGAAAGTAAACCTTTCTTCTCCACAAGACATTTATTTAAATTTTAGAATTATAAATTGCCCGAGAATTAATGTCACTTTTAGAGTAATTTATTATGCTTATTTCACTGAAGCCTAGCGGCTATGACAAGACTCTTTTGGGACTTTTCTCTACTCTATGGGCCGAACTAATAAACAAAATATGAGTTCAAAATAGCAAGTATTAATTGATGATGTTTCCTCGTCAGTCAAAATAAATATTTCTGCTAAACATAGGGGCTTGCCACTCAATGCACAGAAACTCATTTCTGTATCATAAAATTCTTTTGAGAATATTCGCCACCGCACATAACAAACAAAGAGCTGGATCTATTGCTACAGTAAAGTCTTTATAATATGTTTCGTCTGCCTAAAACAAAACAGCAGTTGTTTAGGTAACGACTTCGAGAAATCAGTACATATCGGAGAAGCTCAATGCTTTTTTTATTCTCTCGCTAATTTTAAAGAATAGATCTAATATTCTCATGTGATTTTATAGAGAATTAAACAACTGATTATTTTAAACCAAGTGTACTTTTCAACGTACAAACGAAAATAAAATAAAAATAAAATACCTTGTACTACCAGTAATAAGAACTGTTCGTGATACCATTGATCTAGAAATATGAAGAATGGACATAAATTCTATTACAAGGCTTTAGCAAAAACGCAAAAGAAAGAATTTTAAGTTCCACCAGTCTGTTGTTTAGATATAATTTCATCAAGCTGACGTTCAAATTCAGCTAATTCTACTTTAGATTTTGCAAATAAATGCTCGAATTCTGCTTGTTTAGCTGTACCATCAGTTAACATTTTAGCTCGTATCATTTTTGATACAAGTATTGTTGCTTTACGTTCATGAAATTTTGCTGCACGACATTGTGTAAAACGTCCCATACTTAAAATTGGTAAGGAAATCATAGCTGTTTGAAATACACGATTACGATTTGTTGTTAAAAGAAATGCAGCCATGCTACAAAAAAATGAACCAGGTATTCCTAGAAATATGAAAGAATTTTTTTTTTTAAATAGATATTCAATTTTTTCTTTACCAAAAATAAGTGCTTCTTTTAAACAAAGTGTTTCGCCTATTGGCCTATTTTTTGATACTTCGACAAGCATAGAAACACTTTGTTTCATTTTATCCCAAGTTGTTCCTTGTGGAGCATTAGGATCAGTATTCATCGGTTCAACTGAACGTAATTTAGAAAAATCTGCAGGGTCATTTGGTGGTGTCATATCTGAAATTATTAAAATCTTTTATATAAAATGTACAACTTAATAAAAGAGCAAGAAAACGAAATGTAAATCTATTTTAGTTACAATACTAATTGGAAATCGATGACAATTCATTCGATCGCTTCGTTTTCAACATATCAAGTATAAACAATGGATTATTTTCGAACAACGAAAAAACTAAAAGTTTTTATATAAAATATTTTCTCTCTCTTCAAACAGCAAAGATCTTTCATACTTTTTGTGTGATATCAAAAGTTTCACTTATAGCTAAAAGAATTACAGACAATAAAGAGCAAAAATCGATCCTGTTATCACTATTGGCCAGATAGAGGACAATCAACAATAAAGGTAATAGATGTAACGTAAATCTCATTACGTGAGAAAAATAGATCATTATTTGACAATATATGTCAAAAAGTACATTTGTTGTTTGAAAATTAGTTTTTAATTAGTTCTTTCTTCGTTTTTCTATTGCTCTAACACCATTGAACATAAACTGTTTTTGTCCATTCAATACTGTCATGAAAGAAGAAGAAAAAAACATAGCTTCTCATATCGCTCAACAACCTTTTATTTTTATTTCATAATAACTGGAGTAATCGAAAACATTCTGCAACAAAAGCAGAACGTCATATGAATTCAACTACGCAATTTACATATTACAGAGATTGATATTTCATTTGACTTGGGACTATATGTATCATGTAGACTCTAATGAAATATTAATATCCGGAAATGAGTTCGAGTCATTGGCATATTATTGTGGTGACATTACAGTATTTTTTTGACTCGATGTTGTAGTTCCTCTCGACAAAATTAATGTTCGAATTTAATTTTTTTGCACAGAGACAAACCTCAATGAGAATAGTTTGTGATGCAAGTTTTAGATCTTTTCCTTATTCCTATTCTAAGATATGGTTATGACAAAAGTCTCATGTTTATATCCAGCAACAGATTAAATGCTCTTAGTTTAGAATAGAAGTAAATTAAAAATGTTGAAACTTTATGATAAACTATTCTCGTTTGAAGGGCTTATCTCTGAGTCAAGTTTCAAGTTGAAATTCGAAAATCAATTTCTTAGTGTTTCTGACGGATACCACGACATTTAATTAAAAGCTGTTGCAAAAATATATTATCTCTGTCGTAATAAGGGTAATAGCTCAAACTCTTTTCAGAGTATTTATAACTCATTAGAATCTACATAATGCACATAGTCCTAATTCAAAAGTAATTAATCAGTTGAGAGATTGCTTTGGTAAGATTATTTCATCAATAATTATTCTACAACTGTTATGAAGTTAAAGCTCAATATTTTTCCAATGTTTATTTCTAAATAAACTCCATTAGATTTTTGTATCTTATTCTAATAATTAAATGTAAATAAAATACAAACGTTTCAATCTTTGTAGAAACGAAATCTTAATTTTGTTTTTATTTAAATCAACAAGAAAAAAAAAATCTAATGTTATAACTCTATTGCAAAAGAATCGAAAGACAAAAAAAAATCAAAAGGTGCAAATGTTATACAAGTCACCATACCTGAAAGCTTGTTTAATCGTTCAATCTATTTTGTCAATATAAACATGCAAACAAGCAAACAAACAAAAAAGAAGAAGAAATTACAATCGTTCTCCAACACGAATCTTATCACCGGAATGACGAATAAAATGATATGTTGATGGTGCTTCAAATATAAGTACAATACAAGAACCTAATTTAAATTCTCCAAATGGATCTCCTTTATCAAAATAAATTGGTTTTATTGTTGAAAATTTTTCTTTCCATATACGAAATGTATAATCATCTAATTTTTGATTTGTTTTTAATGTTTGATCAAAATAAACATCTATAGAACCAACATTTGTTGCACCAATCATAGTTTGACTCATCAAACCATGATGATATTCACCCAAATAAACTACACGTTCATTAAGTAAAAGTAAATTTGGTATCCACATTATAAATTCAGGTCGAACACTCATTAATTCGCCTTTAGAAATAATCAATAGGAAAACAAAAAATGAAAATTATTGAATTTTAAAAGGATGGACGAGTCATAACAATTTATTTTGACGCACTTTAGTTGGTAGATATAACTAATGTGTAAGTACTGCTGACAAGCCTTAGATTATCTTAAAAGCTTAACTATCGCCATAAAATTTGTTGTGAGCTAAGAGAACTTATGCTTCTTTTAAAATAGACTTACAAGTTAATGAGCTACAAAAACATATATAATTTGTTCGGTAGAAAAAAAAATGGCCATTTTCGGACTGATATTTATTGATTTTTGTCAAGTTTTCTTATGAAAACAAATTACATACTTGGAATAAATATGAACAACTGAGTCGCCCTATTATACATGTTTCGAATTATTCGGACAATTTTTATTTTCATTAAACAATTCACTCATGGCTCTTCTAAAGGTTTATCAAAACAATGAATTCAATCGTAACGCCATTTTTAATGCGTATTGATCAACTTCTTTGTTTTTTGCTTTATGATCATTTTATTCGATCAGAACTTGTTTTTAACTATTCAAATGAGATTTTGATTGATTTCATTATTTCGCTGAATATCTAGGAGGAAACTCTACTAGCACTAAAATTTTCATAATATGGCCATTTTTATTTTCTGCAATATTAAACTTTGAAGACTAAATAATGACTCAAAATCCATCGATTTAAGCTCCTCAAGCGTTCTTTTCCACCCATTTTTGACTTGATAAAAGATCATTCAGACAATCTTTCGGTACCAAAATCTAGCTCAAATCATACTCTTTAGCAATATTTATATATGGTTAGATGTTTCACCTTAAGCACTACGAAATCAAGTAACTTTTGATGTTTCTTTCTGAGAAAAAGTTAATTGGACCAAAACAGATCCTTATGCATCTTCGTCTTTTTGTGTACTCAAAAAGTAAGTACACTCTAAAATCGGTCAGTGTGTCCGTCCGTCCGTCCGTCCGTTTACACGATAACTTTTTAAAGGAGTGTCCAATTGCGATGAAATTGTCTACACAGTTCAGTCTTAACAATATCTCGGTCGAGTTCGAAGATGAGAAGAATTGGTCGAACCGTTCCTGAGTTATTGCAAAAATACTCATTTTTCCCTATGGCTTCCTATGCGAAAATCGACCCATCCCCGCTTTCGTAAAAAACTTTTCCTATCATACTCAAACAAAACCCCAACTATTATATACCATTCGATAGAGAACTTTACGAGCTAAAAAATGGTATATAAAACATAAAGAAACAAGAAGGCTAGCTCACCTATGACAAGGATAATTAAAGAGAACTAACTTATATTTTTGTCCACGATCTAATTGATCCACAAATAGAGCTCTATCTTCCGATCGCAGAGATGATACTTCGAAGTTTTTTGAGATGGAGAACTCGAATCTGCATTTCGTTTCCATCGAAATACTATTGGTTGAGCAGTAACTAATAGAAATCAAGTTATAGGAAAAACGACTTTCTTAGGGTAAATCAAGGGGAAGAATTCAAATTTGAGCTGTATTTAGTCCCAAGTCCTATTGGTTTGGCAATACCCCATAGAAATCAACAGTTTAGAGGGTAGATTCCCCAGTATAATTTTGATGTTTACACATTCTACGATGGCTAATTCGTCTGATTCACTTTTTGAAGTACACATAACTCTCGGATTTAAATCCGAAGTTTCCGCATTTATTTTTTATTGTGTCATACCTGTTACATGTCGACGTTCATTAATTTTCCATTTCGCTGGACTATGAAAATGATGATAATTACCCGGATTTAAATAAATACAAGCATAAAAAAGTGATGATTCAGATTGTTTCTTTTGTAAACGTTCAATTTCATATTGATCTAATTGAAATAAATCTTTTATTGTATATGGAATACCTTTAATAACAATATTTAAATTTTCAACTGATGTTACAAGACCATTTGCAAGTATTTCACCATCACATGGTGATACAATTAAACTTTCTTTATCAATTGGTCGTACGCCGGATTTAAGATTTCGTCGAAAAAATTCTCCAAAATTTGCATAATAATCAAGATGATCAGGACCATATTCACATTCATTGATATCAGCATCAAAAATACGACAAAAATATTTGTAAATAGAATTTCTTATAGAACGAGGATAAATATTCACAGAAAAAAATCGTGACCAAAATCGAGATGTTTCACGTAATGGTAATGAACGATACCAAGCTTCCTTTGGTGTACATAATGATTCCCGTTGAATATATATAGAACGTATATAATGATATGAAGTTAATGCAGATAAAGTTGTTACTGAAAGACAACGACCTATGGGAAAACTCATTCTCGACGTCTTTGTTGACGACGATAAGGTTTTTGTTTTGATGCTGGTTGTTGATTTGTTTGTTGATCGTTATTATTTATTTGAAATAAAGCACGAATAACACCAAAACGAATTAAAACAAATTTCCACAATAAATACCACGCTAAATAAAAAAAAATTTCAAATATACAACAATGAATATTTTTTTATGTATGATGCAAAGAGTTTTCGGGGGAAAATCAAGAAGATCTATTCAGAAAATTTTTTGTAATTGTATGATCAAAAAAAAAATTCTATCAAGTTTCATGTTTGAGTATTTAGCAAATGTCTGAATAGCATTCGAATGTAAAAACAGCTTGAAATCGTTTTTTGCAAAGATTTTTATCACTTAATAAACAGGTAAAAAATATACGAACTGAAAAATGGTAGGAATTTGAAAGCATGAATTCGGTGGCCAATACTTGCACAGTTACGCGGCTCTATTTCAGTAGATCATTTCATATGTTTTCATAAAACGGTGCTATTACAATTATAAAAAAACTCCAATAGACTTGTCACTATTTTCCTATTCATATTTTGCATATCTCTACTTTTTCATCATGTTAACTAAATCAATTTTGTACAATTTTCAATCATATTTGTGAAGAAAAATAGAATACAATAGAATGTATAGGAAATAGTTGAAAAATATTGAGAGATCACTTTCTGCTACTGCGGCCTTTTCAAGCTTTTTTTTACGAAATATATTTTTATTGCCATTCGAAGATTTATTTAACAATAAGACGTGATCGATTACTTACATAAAGCAATAATAACTAAAGCAACAATAATAGAAACAATAGAAGAAATAATTAATGCAAACCAATAACGAATTGAATGATTTTCAGTCATTACTCAAACATTTGAATAATCTAGAACGTATAAAAGTTTATTTTTTTTTTTTGCTTTCTGTTTTCTATTCACATTCCGTGATTAATATATAAAAACAAGAAAAAAAATTTTTTTTAGAAGTTATTGTTTGTCTAACAAGTTTAATCATCAGCTAGTTAAATTTGTTTAAAAATTCATAGTTTTATCGTGAAGATATTGATACATGTAATCGTTTGTATCTTTTTCTTCAATCTTCTCCCAACCAGTTTCTTTCATATGATAGACTAAATAAATAAAAATTTATGTATGAAAAATAAGAAGATGATTAATACTCACTTCGAACAATATTTCCTGAAGCAGCATCACGATGTGCAGCATGCACAATAGCTCGACGGCCAAGGTCAATTGCGTCAGCTGTACTCATTTCATACCTTAAAAATATACATTTGGAATTAAATATTTGTCAAAATAGAAAAGAAGAATATAGCTCCTAACATCAAAACAAACAGCAATTTTGTTTCGCTTAGGGACAATATTGTATTTTTGGTGTTTGTAAAAATAAAAATCTCTAAGATATATATTCTCATCAGAACTTAGAATAAGCCGTTCCGCTTGAACTTTATTTGTTTTCTTTTCAGGTTAGACTTTCCATGTAAGAAAACAAAAAGACTAAAACCAATTGAAACCTATCTTTAAACCTGAATAACTTACAGCGTAATTCCTGCAAGACTAAAATATGAAATACAATTGACCTGTTCTACTTGTTAAGAAGTACTTCACACATGTAGCTCGCATTATACTTGATGATTAGATAATGCTATAGGCAGCTGGGTCTGTTATTTCTGTCTGTCACGATATGTACGATAATAGGAGGTAGTTCATTTTCCCCGCTATGTCATTCAACACTGTTTTTTGTGTACTCAAAAAGTGAGTACACTACTAAAATCGGTCAGTGTGTCCGTCCGTCCGTTTATCCGATAACTTTCGAAAGGAGAGTCGGATCGTGATGAAATTTTCTACACAGTTCAGTCTTAACAATGTCTCGGTCGAGTTCGAAGATGAGCAGGATCCGTCAAGAAATGGCTGAGTTATCGAAAAAATTGTCATTATTGAGAAGACCATCCCTGNCAACCCCCACATCCCACCCTCACCACCACGCACCAACACCCACATCCACACCCGCACCCGCACCCGCACCCACACCACCCACACCCGCACCCACGCCCACACCCGCATACATTCAAATATAGTTTCTTCTATTTCTGCGCATTAATGGGTGTAGTTTCTTTCATGCTATTTGTTTGTGTTTGATCTCGCAACATAAGGCTTCACGGTTGCCCAAGCAATTCACATTTCTTTGCCAGAAAGAAGGCAGCTGCTCCTTTCCACCTTAAATTGATGACAAACACTACCGTTAATAATTTTCTAGCCATATTTTGGTTTTTTTTTTATTTGGTCACAGCGGCGACTCTGTTTTTTTTTATACTGTTTGCTTGTCTTTCATCTCACAGCTCAAGGTAAGTGTTCCATACGTACTTTGCGCTACTTTCGTCGAAAGAAGGCAATTACTTCTTTCCACTTCAAGTTCATCACAAACATCACCATGAAGAATACAGTATTCGTGTTTCTTTTTCATTCTAGAGAGCAGCACGACAAATTTTAAAATCATGTTTGTGCTTTTTTACATAGCAACCGATATTATTCTTATGAGTTTTCAACTTGCAGTGAATAGTGTAGTTCGAGGCAATCACTCAGATACCAATAAACATTTCTTATTGTCACCAAATTAACAGAAATATGCATCTAACAAAATCCACATTTTTCATGTATTTTGCCTACTCGTACGAACTGTCTATTCGATAGAGTCAAATTCATATTCACTATAAAAATAAGATTTCTATGGCATCAACAGCAGTTTAGCCTTTCTCACCGATTAGGGATCGCTAAAATTATTTACAATAATTTTGCTAAAAACGGAAGCATGAATCAATCGAGATTTAGATTTTCTTTTCATTTTTATTTACCCTGTTTACTTTTCTATGTTCCAATATCTAAAGCAATTTTTTCTTGTGGTGTCTCTATTTCTCTCGTCTGATGATGGAACATAAGACTTATAAGCACAAATTAATAGTAAACAGAATCATGAAAAATACGAAATTCGGGTTTTTTAAATTTTCTCCCAGTTACGTATTATTACTATTTTACGTTGTTTATTGATGTGCACTGCTGAAGCTTAACTTATTTGTCAACTGGAAATATAATTTTCTTGGTATTGCAGAATGATAAGAAAAAAACATTATCGAGAATAATTCAAATGTTTTCTTTTTTGTTTTGCTGGTGTCATGTTGTTTGGTTCCTCTCCACTATAGTATCCATGTATATTCACTTTGGAATCTTGGAACGATCGTCATACAAGCCTTTTAGTTCACATTAGTGTAGACATATGCATATACTGAGAAAAAAAAGATTTCTTATTCTAACACCGAGTGTCCATTCAATTTCATTGTATTTCACGTCACAATTCTTATTGAGTTTGGACTTCGAATGGAGAACTTCGCTCTTGCAATCCGTCTATTACGACATAGGGCGAAGATCTTGATACTTAATTTCTTCTCAGATAAAACTAATAGAACAAACAGTACTAATTAGTATGGAACTACTTTCGGTCATTCTACTCACCAAATCAATTCTTAGAAAATGAAAGTGTTATGTTTTCAAAAATTCTACATTGAAATAGCAAAGCCTTCTGAAGACAACTGACAGTTAGACAGCAGTTTTAGAATGATTCTAAATAAACAGTAGATAAATATGTCACCAGAGTGAGTTAATCTCAGTGTATGTTTATCAAGTACCCTTCTCTCCTTCGAAGTTCGCAATGGATATGATTATAAATAAATCTTATTTCGTTCTTTTTTTTATTTATTTGCATTATAGAATGTTTATTCATTCATTATACATGCCTGCTATTGACATGCGAGGTAGTGGTTGCACAAATAGTTTGCATTTCTTTTATTGAGTATCGAGGGCAATCGTA